GTGTGGGAAACTGAAGTGGATCGTTAGCGTTGACCACTTGAGCTTTCAATTTAACACGCACGATTTCAGAGTGCACAATGTAGATTTCTTGGCACATGCGCGCGCGGGCGCGCGGGCCCGCTGGTGAGGATTCCTGTGCTATACCAACTGGAAGTTTGCCATGTTAGCCTGGGAATCTGAATCGAACCTTTAACGCTGACCAATCGGATTTCAAAGCCAACATGCGCGATCTTCTAGTGCGCAAGGCAGAACTCCCGGCACGCGAGCGGGCGCAGGCGAGGACAGAACATCATAATATCATCGACCTCATTTCTATATAATTAAACGTGACGTGCGCGCCGAGGTCAGGCTGGCTGGCCACAGGAACAAGCAGGCGCAGGAACGACCGATGGGACGACGCATCCAACGTGACAGGCGTCGCGGCGTCGCGCCGGCCCTCCGAAAACACAACAATGCAGAATACCGTGTAGCATAGTAGGACATGATAGAATACACCATAGCTGAATACGGTTAAATACAACAACGAATGATTCATGGCGCCTTGTCAAGCGCAGCAGCCACGCCCACGTAAGGCTGTCCACAGGATAAAGATGGGCGCAGCAACTACCGTTTAGACGGCACACCAAACGTGACAGGCGACAAGATGCCACGCCGCCCCGTCGAGACCAGAACAGGGGGACACAACGTTCAAAGAACAGAGCAGAATCGAACAGAACGTCACAGAGTAGAGTACGGCAGAGACCGAGTAATGCCGTCCTATCACACGCGACATGCGCGCCGAACCCGCGTCGGCCACGTATACCAAACAGTAGCAGCAATGACCGATTAGTCGGCATATCAGACGTGACAGGCGTCACGACGTCATGCTCTCCCGTCCGGAGCAGAACATGTCAGAACATAGTGTCATTCACGACATTGTGGCAAGATCAAGGCGAACATATATATATATATATATATATATAACATAATCTTATCATGCAGCCATCAATTTATGGCGCCGCACCAAACGAACATCCTAACATAATCGACCGCACCATAATATCATCAAACGCGACGTGTCCGCCGAGGTCAGGTTGGTCACAGGCATAAGCAGGCGCAGCAACGACCGATTGGACGACGTGTCTACGTGACAGGCGTCACGTCTTCACGCCGGCCCTCCGAGAACATAGCATAGCACACGACAACATGACGGATCAGAACATGATGGAACAGAGCATGGTAGAGCAATGAATGATTGATGGCGCCCTGTCAAACGCAGCAGCCGCGCCGAAGTAAGGCCAGCCACAGGACAACAACAACAGGCGCAGCCACTACCGATGAGACGCCGCGCCGCCTCGTCAAGAGCAGAGCATAACAAATCAGATGTGCCTATAGCAGGACAGGGCCGAACAGAGAGCGATAGAGTGGAACGTAGCAGCGACCGGTTGATGGCGTCTTCTCACACGCATCATGCGCGCCGAACTCAGCCTCGCACTAACAAATAGTACCAGACTCAGGCACACATGCCGCTGGGTTTCCGAGGGGATCGCTCGAAAGAAAAGAATTGGAGAGGGATTCCTCGGATTGTTTGGTTTTGTTCTTCACTGTTTTGAAGACCCCTTCCTCGGAATGCTTATCAGGCAGCGCCAAGCAACATCAAGCAGCGCCAAGCAACGCAAAAACAGCGCCAAGTAATACTGAGCAAGGCCAGGCAAGGCCAAGCAGCGCCCAGCAACGCCAAGCAATGCCAAGCAACAGCAAGCATAGCCGCGCAATGTCGAACGACGCCAAGCAACGGACAGCAAAAACAAGAAACGCCAAGCAATGCCAAGCAATGCTAAGCAATGCCGCTGAGGACGCGTTCCCATGTTTGGGGTCGCGCCATGTTCATGAACAGAGCATTGTTTGCTCCAAATCTCCCCTCCCTCCTCCTCCTCCTCCTCCTCCTCCTCCTCCTCCTCCTCCTCCTCCTCCTCTTCCTTCTCCTCCTTTTCCGCTCCTCATCCTCCTCTTCCTTCTCCTCGCTTCTCTTTCCTTCTGCCTCTTGCCGCACACCTCGCGGCGCCCTGGGGAATTGCCATTTGCAAACCGTCGCCACTTTCGTGGGTTCCTGGGAGGTCCAGCGGAGCGAAGGGACACGCGTACCTAGTCGAGACCTCGCGGCGCCCTGGGGAGGTCGCCAACTGCTGCGCAAACGTCGCCGCCTTCGGGAAGAGTTGACGTGGTCCGATGATCTGTGGCGAAGCTTTCAAGAGTGCCGCGGATCTTGCAACGTGTTCTGTTGTGCTGAACGGTCGTACTGATAGTCGCCACGCGTGTAGAACTGCTTGGTACGTCTCGGGCTCTTTTTCTTTGGCGTACAGCGTATTGACACTCGCATACACACATGCAGGATGGCAACCTGGTCCGCCAGAAAAGGGCCATGAGGTCCGCGAGCCACGTAGAAAACGCAAACACGGCGCCGCAGTCTTGGGAAGTTGTAGTTTGTCGTCCGCCGTCCTGTGTCGTCCGTCACTGTCGTCCGCCGTCCGACGTCCGTCATCCGTCATCCGTCGTCCGCCGTCCGCCGTCCGTCGTCCGCGGCTCGCCGTCCGTCGTCCGTTGTCATCGCCACCGCCGTTGTCGTCGTCGACATCGTCGGCGTGATTGAGGAATGGGAGAAGGCGGAGGAGAGGGATGGGGAGGGGGCGCAGGCCAGCCGAAGGCGAGGGTTGGAGGCTCGGGCGTTGCGCAATGGGGGGTGGATCATGAGGTGGGGGGGAAGGAAGGTACACTTCTGGGTGCACCAGATGGGCCCCAGAAGGGGCCTCCCCAAGGGGCGCGCCAAGGTGTACGCTTCTTCGCCCTTACCCCCCCCGTTTCTCGCCCCCCTGCAGAGCCCACACATCCGACGTCCTAAATTTCTCAAGGCTGGGGCCGGGGGCGCATGCCAAGAGGCCGCCAGGGGCGCATCCTGAGGGCGATTGCTCTGGCCACGTGGGCGGCCTGAGGGGCCTGCCCTGGCCGTCGTAGAAGAGCTATCGTGGAGGAGGAGGAGGAGGAAAAGAAGGAGGAGGAGGAAGCGGAGGAGGAAGCGGAGGAGGAAGCGGAGGAGGAGGAGGAAGAGGAGGAGCAGGAGGAGGAGGGGGAGGAGGAGGAGGAGAAGGAGGAGGGGGAAGATGAGGAGGAGGACGTGGAGGGGGGCTACCGGTTCGTCACGTCGCTCCTGGTGTACAGAGAGGGCGGAGTAGGAGCAGGAGGAGCAGGAGGAGGGAGGAGGGAGGAGGAGGAAAAGGAGGAGGAGGAGGAGGGATGAGGAGGAGGAGAGAGGAGGAGGGGAGGCATTCTTTTCCCATGTCTCTTCTGCCCTTACTTTTTCTGCTACGCCTTCCAGGCATATGTTGTTGGCCCCTCGGCCTCGCTCGGCACTTTCATGCGACTTTTTTCTCACAGACGACAGACGCTACAATGATAATTTCAGTCCGTTCGGCGTAGCCGAAGGAGGAGGGACGAGGCAGGATGAGGGAGGGGAGGAGGAGGAGGATGAGGAGGAGGAGGACGAGGAGGAGGAGTTGAAGGAGGACGAGGAGGAGGACGAGAAGGAGGACGAGGGCGGAGGAGGAGGAAGAAATAATGAGGAGGAGGAGGAGGAGGGAGGAGGAGGAGGAGGAGGAGAGGCAGGGAGGAGGGAGGGAGGGAGGGAGGGATGGAGGGAGGGAGGAGGAGGGAAGGAGGGAGGGAGGGAGGAGGATAGGGGGAGGAGGAGGAGGAGGAGGAGGAGGAGGAGGAGGAGGAGGAGGAGCCTGAAGGAGGAGGAGGAGGAGGAGGAGGAGCCTGAAGGAGAAGGAGGAGGAGGTGGAGAGCGGGGGGAGTGGAGGAGGAGGAGAAGGGCGGGGGGAGTGGAGGGATGCTTTGCGGGGGGGGTCGCGAAGACCCGTGGTCGTCTCTCGGGCATCCTCTAAGCTCTGCGAGGAGATCCAGGCCACCCAGACGGGGGTCGAGGCAGAGGAGGCCGGCGGGTCGCGCCGCATCGGCGATGCATCGGCGATGCTGCCCGATGTGGAGCCCAATTCTCTCCACGCCGAAGACGCCGATACATCAAGGGCGCGCTCGAGGGCGCGAAGTTGTTCACGCTGAACGGTTCGGCTCCGATTCCTCGTCCTCCTCGTCTCCCCTGGGGGGCGGCGCGAGAGCGCGACGTTTTTTCGTGCTTCGCGCGGCGCGCGGGCGCGAAGTTGGGCGCCCTGGATCCTTGATGTCGGTGTATAGGCGATGCGGCTCGATCCTCCGACCCCATCTGCTCGGACCCCAACTGGGACCTTTCTCTAAGGAAGGGAAATCTTGGAGGAGGGTGGCCCCCGAGCTTAATTGCTGGCCGTTCTCGTGGGCTCCCGGGGCCCTGCCTGCCAGGGCCGTTGGAGAGCGGGGCAGAAAGAGCAGCTTGTCCTGGAGAGCACCTTGGAAAAAGGAGGAGGAGGAGGAGGAGGAGGAGGAGAAGGAGGAAGGAAGTGGAGGAGGGAGGCGGGAGAAGCGAGGAGGGAGGATGGCGGACGGAGAATGGAGGAGGGAGGAGAGAGGAGGGAGGAAGAAGGGAGGAGGGAGGAGGGAGAAGCGAGGAGGGAGGAGGGAGGTGGGAGGAGTGAGGAGGAGGAGGGAGGAATGAGGAGGGAGGAGGGGAGGAGGGGAGGAGGGCTGAGGGAGCAGGGAGGAAGGAGGAGGGGAGGAGGGAGAGGAGAGGAGGAGGAGGAGCGAGGAGGGAGGAGGGAGGAGCGAGGAGGAGGAGGAGGAGGAGGAGGGAGGAGGAAGGAGGGAGGAGGGAGGAGGGAGGAGGAGGAGAGAGGAGGGCAGAGGGAGGAGGAGCAGGAGCAGGAGGAGGAGGAGGGAGGAGGAGGAGGAGGAAGACGAGGAGGAGGAGGAGGAGGAAGAGGAGGAGGAGGAGGAGGAGGCTGGAGGAAGAGGAGGAGGAGGAGGAGGAGGAGGAGGAGGAGGAGGAGGAGATTCTGCCCACGCGTCCTCTGCGGGCGGGGTGAGCGTCGAAGCAGGCGCGATGCTGCAGTATCGCGACGCCCTGATCCGCGAGTTCGACGGGGACCTCGTGCAGATAACGGCTGTCCGCAACGAGGAGCTCGGGGAGGAAGGGGGCTCGTGTGAGGGATCCCAGGCGCTTAGGTTACGCAATGCCCAGTCTGCCAGTTGCCCTTCCCTCCTCTTCCTCAACCCTCCCGTGCCATCGACAATCATATGTGATGAATGCTGCTCTCCTCTCTCTCCCCTGACTCGGTGCGGAGATGCTCGACCCTCTCCGCGTAGTGTTTTCGTACACAGGATTTCACAAGGCACTTCCCCAATGTGGTTTTACAGGCCGATGGTTTCCAGCATCTCAACCTGCTGCTCCCGCTGCAGCCCGTGCCTCTCATTTTTTGATCGGTGCGTTGCTCCAGCTGTTGAGAATCGCCCTCTCGCCCCAGCTCGGGCCACTGTGCTGGATCCGGGCCCCTTCTGTATCATCATCGCCCCCCCCCCTCATCTTTCTGCTCCTCCCACTCCTCCCACTCCAGTACCTGCTGCTGCTGCTGCTGCTGTTCGTCCTCGTCGTCCTTGTTTCTTTCCCTCCTGCTCATCCTCCTACTCACCCGCCACCGCCTCCTCCTCCTCCTCCTCCTCCTCATCCTCCTCCTCCTCCTTCTCCTGAGTACACAGCCCCCCCCTTCCGATTGTGCATAAGACGATTGGGTCTTGGTGGGAGGTCCAGGTCGGCTATGGCACGCGTCCGTGGATAGAGAATATATCAGCGCAATGGGAAGGGATGGGGGGAATGATAAGATGCCAGATTTTGCGTGAGCGCACTTGGCTTGCCACCATCCCCTCTCCCCCTTCCCCCTTTTTCCTCCCGCCTTCATCTACTTCTTTCATTCCCCTCATTTCTGTTCCTGTCCAGCTAATCGCTGCTGATTGTCCTCCCTCCTCCTTCCTTTTCCTCTGCTGATCCTCTATCCCTCCCACAGAAGTCCTGGAGCACCGTATTTGGGCGAATGATGGACTGCGAATTTGGCTAAGGATCTCTTGCAGGAATACGCGTCGTGGGCACCAGCGCTCAGTGGATCGCCCTTCGACGTTCCAGGTGTTTTGCAGCTGCGCTTGCGTGACAGCTCACGGAAGAATTGACAAACAATGCTAGCAATTGACGGCGTGAGCCCATCTCATTCAAACGCCCCGCGAATTTTCAACAGCGCATCTCTGTGCACGGTGTACACCTCTCCTGGTTCATCGCTGGGATTAGGGAGCCCCCCCGCGGGCGTGTGAGTCCCGTGCCTGCAATAAAAAAACATGGAGTTTTCTGAGAGACCGCACGGACGTGGGCCGTCTCTCTTGTGGCTCCTGGGGGCTTCCCAGGCTGGGGGGCTTCTGAGAGGATGGTGGGGGCTTCTGGAGGGCCTCTTCGGTGCCTTTTCGGTGCCTCGGGGTAGATGCGCCCACCCCCCATCATCGCCCCATGCTGGGCGCGAAGGGAAACAAGAGAGGGCCTCCGAGAGGCTCTTGGGGCGATTCTGGGGTCATCCGAGGCCCTCTTGCGATTTCCTTGCGTCCTGGTGCCCCCTCCGCCCTCACGGTTTACGCTTGAGGAGGAGGAGGAGGAGGAGGAGGAGGAGGAGGAGGAGGAGGAGGAGGAGGAGGATGATGATGATGATGATGATGATGATGATGATGATGATGATGATGATGATGATGATGATGATGATGATGATGATGATGATGATGATGATGATGATGATGATGATGATGATGATGATGATGATGATGATGATGATGATGATGATGATGATGATGATGATGATGATGATGATGATGATGATGATGATGATGATGATGATGATGATGATGATGATGATGATGATGAGGAGATGATGAGGATGAGGAGGAGGAGAGGAGGAGGAGGAGGAGGAGGAGGAGGAGGAGGAGGAGGAGGAGGAGGGCGTGGGCCGCCTGGCGCCCACCCCCCCTCCCCAGAACAACCGCGGGCAGAGCTTCCTGAAGGTGGTGGACCCGGTCTTCTGGGAGAGCGTAGGGGTCCCTTGCCGCAGCCGCCTGCCCCCACCCCCGTCAAGCGTCCGACGACATGATCTGTTCATCCCCGGCGGGCTTCTCGATTGCGGAGGCGGCCGTCCTCGGGCCCCGGGGCCATCAACATCAGGAGAAGAAAAAACGCACAGACACAATTAATCGTCGATTCCCCAGAAAATATGGGAAAATATGGGAAGTGGGGAAGAAGACAGAAACCCAGAAAATATAGGAAAATATGGGGAATCCTGTTATTTGTGTTATTTATTTGTGTGTTTGTGGGCCCCTTCAACGACGGAAGACCACCCCTGGGGAGTGGGCCAGGTCTTCTGGGGGCCGCGGAGCGGAACGTCGCATCCACGGGCGTCAGGGCCCCCTCCTTCGCCTCCTCATCATTTGCCTCCTCCTCCTTCTCCTCCTCCTCCCTCCTCCTCCTCCTCCTCCTCGTCCTCCTCCTCCTCGTCCTCCTCCTCCTCGTCCTCCTCCTCCTCCTCCTCCTCCTCCTCCTCCTCCTCCTCCTCCTCCTCCTCCTCCTCCTCCTCCTCCCCCCGCCTCGTCGCTGCAGCTCTCTCCCACTCCGGGATCGGCCTTCGGCCCGCGGATCAGACGGGGCTGCGCAGGACGAGGACGAGTCCGTTCCAGAGCGTTCCAGAATGCTCTCGGAGCGTTCTGGAACGCTATGAGAAGGCCGCGGCGCCCGAGGCATCCTCCAGAGCCGCCGGAATTCAGAGATTCGCGACTTATCCTCACCCGATGTTATCTTCGTCCTGGCTTCGTCCAAACCTGCTGGAGCCCCCAGAGTCCTGGAGCCCCCAGAGGCCTTCGGAGGCCTTTGGGGGCCCGGTCTGCGCGCGGGAGCACCGCGGGCTGGAAGAGGGGCTGGAAGCGGGTCTCTGCTCCCATGCCATACCTGGAGGCCGTGTCCAGCGAGGTGAAGGCCTCAGGGACAACGATAGGGGGGATTGGCATAGGCGGGGATGCATCGATCCCGAATCGTTCACTGATCGCCGATGAGGGGCCCAATATGATAGCCCCATCCTGCCCAGGAACGTGCGGATTCACTATCGGGGGCCTGTCGCCGATCTATCGGCGATTTATCGCAAATTCCAGGTCGATGTTCCCCCCGCTATGCCGGCCCCCCCCCCTTCGTTGCCCCTCAGGGCCCAGAACGACCCTGTGGAGGTTGGCGGTGGTGGGTCCCTTCTCCCCCCTGCAGGGACGGCATTGGATACAGCATCCACTGTATCCACCAAGGTCGGGGCCCACAGCGACCACGTGGAGACGGGCGGCGATGTATCTTCTCACTCCCCTCAGGAATGGCACGGCTTTGGATGGAGAGAGGGGGGAGGGAGGGAGGGAGGGAGGAAGAGGAGAAGGAGGAGGAGGAGGACTAGGGAGATGGGAGGAGGAAGGAGGAGGAGGAGGAGGAGGAGTGTCGATTCCTGATGTGGTGTTCCTTGGATGTGGAGGCCCTTGTCCGAGGACTCGTGCTTCTCGGTACGCAGCGGCCTCTGCTTTGTTTGGAGCACATGCTCTTGAACAGCGTCATGTGGCTTCAAGCCCACACCGTATTCGGTAGCTGCTCTTGTCCCTACGCTCGCGAACACAAGAAGATGTCACGCGAATGCGAAGCGACACCTTCCAGCGAAGAAGAACAAATTGCATAAACATGCACTTGTATGTCCAATCGCGTTCAGATTTTGTTTATATCGGCGCAGGAAGCCCCTGGCGGTGCCTCTGGCGCCACCCCTGGCGCGCGACACGCGACAGGAAGGGGGTTCCAGTGCCGATCCGAAGAATCCGCGAAGAGGTCCGAGAGTTTATGGTTCAGATGGTTTTGTTCCCAACCATCCTGTGGTGTTTGGTCCGCGTTTCGAAGAGACAGCGACCCGCGTCTCATCTCTCTTCCTCTTCCTCCTTCCTCCACCCCCTTTCGGCACACCCCTCACACGCTTCGTGACCCCATAGGGAGCTCCACCCACTGCCCCAGAGGCGACGTTCGCATGCGTCTCCCCCGCCCAGTACAGCGCTTCCTGACCCCATAGTGAGCTCCACTGGAGGCCCCAGGTGCGACGCTCGCACATGTTTCCCGCACCTAGTAGAGCGGTTCGTGGCCCCATAGGGAGCTGCTCCGAGGGCCCCAGAGGCGACGTTCGCACGCGTTTTCCCACCAAGTAGAGCGCTTCGTGACCCCATAAGGAGCTCCGCCGACTGCCCCAGAGGCGACGTTCGCATGCGTCTCCCAAGGCCCCAGGGGCGGCACGCGTATCTCCCACCTAGTAGAGCGTTTCGTGGCCCCATGGAGATCGCCACCGAAGGCCCCAGAGGCGACGTTCGCACGCGTCTTACCCACCGAGTAAAGCGCTTCGTGGCCCCAAAGGGAGCTCCACCGGAGGTCTTGGACGCGACGTTCGCATGCGTCTCCCCGACCTAGCACAGCGTTCCGTGGCCCCATAGGGAGGCCCACTAAAGGCCCCACAGCCGACGTGCACATGCGTCTCCCCAACCCATTAGAGTGCTCTCCATGGACCGATTCGGAGCTCCACTAAAGGCCCCAGAGGCGGCGTTCGCATGCGTCTCCCCCATCTGGTACATCGTTTCGTGGCCTCACAGGGATCTCCACCGAAGGCCACAAAAGGCGACGGTCGCATGCGTCTCCCCCATCCAATACATCGCTTCGTGGCCAGAGGCGGCGTTCGCATGCGTCTCCCGTATTTAATACAGCGCTTCGTGGCCCCCCATAGGGAGCTCCACCGAAGGCCCCAGAGGCGACGTTCGCACGCGTTTCCCCAACCCAATACAGCGCTCCGTGGATCCATTGGGAGCTCCACTGAAGTTCTTAGACGCGACGTTCGCATGCGCCTCCCCGACCCAGTACAGCGCTCCATGGACCCATTCGGAGCTCCACTAAAGGCCCCAAAGCCGACGTGCGCATGCGTCTCCCCAACCTAGTAAAGCGCTTCGTGGCCCCATGTGGAGCTCCACCGAAGGCCGCAGAGGCGACGCTTGCATGCGTCTCCCCCGTCCGGTATATCGTTTCGTGGCCCCACAAGGGGCTCCACCGAAGGCCCCAGTGGCGACGGTCGCATGCGTCTTCCGCATCCAGTACAGCGCGTCGTGGCTCCACAGGGCCTCTGCCGCATGTGTCTCCCCAACCTAGTACAGTGCTTCGTGGCCCCAAGGGGAGCTCTACCGAAGGTCTTAGAAGCGACATTCGCATGCGTCTCCCCCGCCCATTACGGCGCTTCGTAGCCCCACAGGTTGCTCCACCGAAGACCCCGGTGGCCGCGGCCGCATGCGTCTCCCCCACCCGTTACGGCACATCCTTCACGCGCTTCTTGGCTTCATGAGGACCTCCACCAAAAGCGGTATCCAAAAAACGGTATTCACAACTGCATATGTTTGGGTCCTTTGCCGGGGTACTATTATCTTCCCTGTCGCGAACCTTGACAGCAGCCGTTTTGTTTTTTCTGTCAGAGGTCCCGGCTGTTTTCACGGGGGGCAGTTTTTGAGCGCGGCGCGCTTGGTTATAATCAGGTGAGCCTGTGATAACGCGATCGGACACTTACGCCCAACGGCCGTAATCAGCGCTTAACTCCCACATTAATACGTAAGTACCGTACTGGTTGCTACCCTCATTTCCACATGTGGCGATCATCATTCACACATGGTGTTCTTTGACTTTCAGTGCGGTATCAGGTAGAATTGCTGAATTGCGATGCTGCCGCATGGAGTTTCCAGTATCGTTCATTCGATATGTCATGATGTTGTGCTCGTACTTATTACAGATGCAACTCGCTGTTACAGAAACTTGAGACTACATTGCTGCGCGTGCGCAAGCCCGATAGATGGAATACAACAATCGCACATACAAATTGCATGTGTGGGCAACTCGGGTTCTTGCATTTCTGCACTCAGATGGTGGCATTCTTACGGACATGCAAGTCCAATCTTCGCCGTCAGCACAGACATGGTACCACACTTTCCCGCACTTTCGGCGTCTGGCGCCACCAAGCAGCACGACGTCAAGCACGTTAGACTTCACACCCGACGGAGCTACGAACTTGCCACTGATTTCGGTATTGTCCACGATTGGGGACAGCTCCCTTACTGGTTGCCGCAGAGCCTTCAAGGAGCGCGTGCCGATTGCCCGTGGCGTGCACGGCAAACTTTCGCAGGTCTGCAGAACGTTGGCAGCATATTTCCTCCATGAGCCCCCTCGTTGGGCGAAAGCCCCTCGCCGGGCGGTGTATAGAACAAGTTCAGGGTGTTGGCGCCTGTGCTCGGTGACAAGTGTCGAACAGGCGGCCGAAATCGCAGCATTGCGAAGCGAGGTGGGCGGCTTGGTGGTGCTTGAATTGGAAGCGTGTTGGCCCGTGCGCCTCCAGGAACTTATGCAAGTCCCTCAGGATGCAGTCATGCAGCTGGGGCGCTGCAGCGAGTCTGCGCGATGCGCACTGCAGCACTGCGCTGCTCGCGCAGTACAGCGAGACGCGTTCCTTTGCGCCCTTGAGGGGGCAAGGCCCTCTTCCCGAGCAGCCACGCGGGCGAAATACCGCTGGACGATTGGCGCCGTTGATAGCTGCTTGCTCACAGTGGCGGTCATCCTGCTGGTCCCGTAGGTCCCTGAAACCATTTTACACCCCAGGCGCTACGTCCAACCCTGCATGTCTGTATGCAGATCCGCGTACTCCACCGCTGCCTTCTTACCCTCCCAGTCGCAGCGTTGGCCGTGCACATTGAAGGCCAAGAGGTCGTATCCAACCACCCCATTGATGAAGTATACGTGGGGCCAGTCGTACGCGATATTGCTGATGGGGCTGAACGCTGGGTCAGCAGAAATGTGTTTCGGACCGTAGTGGACGCCTAGCCGAGTCTCCAATTCAGCGTACGTTGTTTTGCCGAGAGTGTTTGTCTCACCCTCAAGTGATCCATCAAGGCTCGCATTGACTCGTCCGTGTGCGACACCCACCGATCACATTGCACGTTGTCCAATTGCAAGTGTCCAT